AAGCACAGTCTTTGTTCTAAGTGTCACATTTGCTTTGTTCTTTATCTATGAAAGCAGACGAGGCCTCTTGTATCACGCACATGTGATGATACCATGCTCTGACAGGAAACAGCCTCTAAAATGGAAAGCGGCTGTTAGCTGAATGTGATCATTAAGGGGCGGGTTAAGAAGAACAAACTGAAGTCATGTTTAGCTTACGTTTAAATGTGCATGGTGGTCAGAAGAAAAACAACAATAAGATGCTGCTGAAACAGCAACGTTTGACTTCATTATTTTATTACATAAGATGGAAAATAATCCAGAGTGTAAAACAAAATAAACCGAGTTGTTAATTTAGTCACACTTGACTGCTGTTGGCAATCATTCTGTTTTTCTCGTGTTTTAAAGTTAAGCTCGATAATAAGTTGAGATGTTTACAAAACACTCAGAGCCTCGACCCACTGATTAAAAATATGAAATATGTTTAAGAATCATAATTCTGCTATTATAAATGTGTTTACTGATTTTTATTAGTTCTTAATGTTGTGTTCATTAATTGTCACCACACACAAAATGAAAAAGAACAAAAACATTCAGATATTTTGGCTGAACTTTACACTGGAAAAACCAAAAACCAAAACCAAAACAAATAAAACAAAATACACCCACAAACAAGCATTAGATAATTAAACAATCAAACCCTGGGACAATTGTATGTTCTTCATAGGACTTTTTTGTTGTTGAACTCTAAGCCTTCAAATAATCCACAAATTGTGGGTTTTATTTCCCACAGAATGAAAACATTTGTATGATCAAATGATTTATGGATGGTAAACAGTTGGCAGAAAAAGAGAAGAAGAAAATGACGAGAGTAGGCAAAGACGTGGTAAACGCCCATTTCTCTTGCAATATTTCTAACACCATCAGCTCTGAGATCAGTCTGCCTGTTCTGCCTGTCTGCTATAAGCCCGGTGAGTATTACTTACTTACTATCAGCTGTACAAACGTTCAAATTTGCCTTTTTCAAATCTTCATGAACTGAAGTAGTCATTGTATTGAGCTCATATCATATTAAGATTCTTTTCTTCTTCTCTTGTTTTATTCCTGAAGTTTTTCCCTGAAACAATGACAGAAATCTGGCTTTTACTGGGTGGTGGAGCAGGTATGTTGTGTCTTATGTGCAAAATCCTTAAAGTTTGACATGTGTGGCGTTGCTGAAATGCAGAGCAATTAAGCTTGAAGCAATGAACACAGGATTCAAATACATAAACTCTTTACTTTACATGTCTAATACAATTAATTTTCATCCTCATCAGTTATTGTTCTGGTCATCCTAATTGTCATCGTTTGTTGTATCAACACCAGACCAAAAGAGCATGTGCTGCCAAACGGTGAGAATTTATTTGTTTATTTTTAGTTATTTTAAACCACTGCATATAATCTGTTAGTTACTTAAGAAGCTTCATTTCAGTCTAAACTTCTGAAAGGTTACCTATGGAGCTCCCCAAGGTGCAGTGCTAGGACCACTATATTTATATTTAGACTTAAGGTAGCAGGTTAAAACATTTCAGACTGCAGATGATTCAAATATATTTTGAAAATACTGTTAAATTATGGATGAGGCATCTAAACCTGATCTTTCAAAAAAGCCATGCTGCAAATGCAAGCAATGCTCTTACTTATTTAAGATGATAACACTTAACTGGAGCCTTTTTTAAATTTTACTGACATAATGAACCTGCAGGGTCACATAGCTACAGTCTGATCCTAATTCCACATGAACCATGTAACTCCAGCACACCACAACATTGTCTTAGTTGTGTATGTTTACTGCAAAGGAGATCAAATTATTTTTATTTATCCTTTTTAAAAAAATATCCTTTTGTGTTTAGTTGACACAACCCCATCAAAGCCATTTTCTCAGTAATAGCAGGCGTTACCTTTTTTCTTACCAACACTTTAACAGATGATGATATGTTTGTTGCTGATTTTGTACCACTGGACATAATATAAAATAAATCTAATATAAGATTCGTATAACCAAAGTTCAGACGATGTGCAGACGCTTGCAGTGATTAAAAAGTGCACGGGGAAGTCATAAGTCACATTTATAGTAGTAGAACGTGTGGGGCCGACTCCCAAAACCTCTTCAGTGATTCCCTTTAAAAATGTCAAACCTAAAATGACACAACTGTATATTTCTGGATTTATAATTCATTTATTATTACAGAGGCTTCTGCTGCCGACACACAGTCTGACAATGCGTCCAATCAAAGGCTCTGGACCTTCATGAGGATATATATGAATCTCCAGTAAGTGTTCCTCAACCTCACCATTACCTCAGGCTCCTTCTCCATCAGAGAGGTGATGCTCTGGGTATTTAAAGCCAGTGTTACCAGCCGGAGATCGGACCAGAGCCTCCACCCCAAACTGCTGCCGAACACCTGCAAAAGCTCCTGTTGGCGGTCCACCAGAGATTAATTTTAATAATAATTTCTAATTTAACATTCATTTTATTTTTTAATACAAATTTTTGAATATGATGGCACATAAAGGTCTTTAAATGTATGAAATGTGTATGTATGTCTGTAAATTATTAAGTGACCTGTACAGTGATTGATTTACATCTTAAGATGTATGTTTTATCTTTGTTTTAATTAAGTTAAATTAAGTTAAATCATTGTTACTTTTCTGACATTAAACATAAGTAAACAAGTAATAAAACACAGATTTAGATTTTTTTTTAATGCAAAAAAATTGGATAATTACAAGTGATCCTAATTTAGCAGTTTCTGTCTATTTTAAAATGTAAACTGTGACGTGTATATAAATAAAATGAATGGGTACACACAAAATCCAAATAAGATTTTGAAATCCATAATAATCTGTTTTAAGCAGGAATAAATAACAAGTTAATGTTTCAACTCATTGTTGGGTGTCTTCCTCTCTTGTACTCACATGTATTAGAATTGTTACAGAGGACATTTTTGTCAGCCTCAAAAAGGCAGTTTCAGACGTCCTTTCTCGCTTACGGCCACACCACTCTGAACACGCCCGATCTCGTCTGATCTCGGAAGCTAAGCAGGGTCGGGCCTGGTCAGTACTTGGATGGGAGACCGCCTGGGAATACCAGGTGCTGTAAGCTTTTGCACTAAGACACGAAAACTGCAGAGGGCAAAGCTGCTCACTCCCTACCTCAATAACAATCATTAGTACTCAGTTGGTATTCTTCATCATAACATTTTCTGCATCAACGTCCAAAACAGGACTACTTAAAAGTTTCAGTGACAACATGATGCAGAGTTTGAGCTCTGACTCAGGTTCAGCTTATCTCAATAACCCATTAATCTTGCTTCATGGGACACCCTGAATCTCCTCAAATTAACAATCCATACTTTATTGGCCACATTACACTCATAGAAGTGTTTATTTTCAATTATTTAAAATAAAATACACTTTTAATTTTACAAAATAATGATGGAATATTCATTTTCTTTGCTTGACAGTGAAAGGAGAAACACCAACAAAAAGGACGCTGTAGCAGTAACAAGAAAAATCAGTTTGTATTATCAGATTTTAAGAGGAAGTCATTTCAGAAAAACAGACATTTATATTTTATGTCTAAATTACAAATTATCACCCAAATTAGGACAGTTTGTATTTGAGTTTTCGGTTACCTCTTGAACATCTCTAACTGGAGATTATATTTAAATAGATTTATTTATATTTGCTGAAGCAAGAAAACGAAAAAAGCAAAGTCTTTGTTCTAAGTGTCACACTTACTTTGTTCTTTATCTGTGAAAGTAGACGAGGCCCCTTGGATCACTTCCCTTCAAAACCATACATGCGCACGCACGTAAACATGATGACACCATGCTCTGACAGGAAACAGCCTCTAAAATGGAAAGCGGCTGTTAGCTGAATGTGATGACAACAGTGAAGAAGAAGAAGATGGCTTCTGCTGCCACCATCGCTGTGTCTCTGCTCTGCTGCTTCATCACCGCCTCCACAGGTACGCTACACTTCATCTCTTTATGCTGTCAGGTGTAGTTTTTGGTGAACTGTATAAGCAATTAGCTTTAAAATCCAAAGTTAATGGCTTTGATTTCAAGTGTTAAATGTCAACGTTCAAATGTTTTTGAAAGATAAAATCATTTATAGGTGTTTAGCTGCACACTGAATAATTTTTTAACACATCACAGACACTTGATCTGTTGTTATGTAGCATGCAGTCCTCTTTTTCTGTATGAAGCTCCCACGTAAAAATGCCTTCATTTAATTGTATTTGATGAATTAAAGCATAAATATAATCATTTTATTTAAAAACTTAGATTCAATTTCATCTCGTTAATTGTTTGTTATTCTGCGCTGTCATTTAACATCATTAACAGTTTATTTCGTACTTATGAAACGCAAATCTGGCTTCATTCCTCAATAGAGGACTCAGAAACTGAACAGTGCTGACTCAAAAGAAAAACTATATACATATAAAAGAAAGAAAGTTTATCTTCACTGGACTGGACTTAATTAAAGTTATCATTGTCTTTACATAAAGACTTTCAAATTTAAAAAAAAATCATTTACATGATGAGTAACAAAATCCACGTAGGTTGAAGTCAACCACACACAGATGGGGGCGTAGCGCTGCAGCGCTTCACCCCCATCTGTGGAATCTATAAGTCATAAACTGCATCACTTCACTTCTTCTTAGTTTTACTTTGAATGTTTTGATTATTTCAGCACTATTTACAGGAATAAGTGATCTTCACACGATGTCAGTGATGCCTTTTGACAGTTTTCTTTGCAGGTCATGCATCATGTTGACTGGTTGTGTTTGAATTTTTCATTTTTTTAAAGAACATTCTCACATGACAGTTATAAAGATAAATGCCTTTTTGTCTTTTCTGCAACTGTAA